CTCTCTCTCTCTCTCTCTCTCTCTCTCTCTCTCTCTCTCTCTCTCTCTCTCTCATACACACACACACACACATGCATACTCATGCACACACATGTACACAAACATACAAACACACATGTGATTCTAAAATGGTCATTCAATCTTTGTTTGCTGATATTAACATATAATGATATTTTACCTACAAGAGAAGATTTTGCTGCTCTCTGTCTCTCCAAGATGAATAGTCCCATGTTTGAAGTTCATGACAAAGTCCTTAGTTCTTTATCGTACATTTACTTATCAGAAAGGAGAAACACAAAGTGCTTCCTTCTATCTCTCTTTGCTCTGGCTTCATTTACACTGTGTCAATCAGATATTCCTTAAAATTCCTTTCTTATATGTAGCGATTCCACTTCAGATTCGAGTGATAACTCAAGGAAATTTATCTGCTTTCCTTGACTATACACCAGATTCTAGCATTTGGTTTGGATACTTCATATTCATTTTTTATGATATTAGAAAATCATTGGCAAGAATTATGTTTCCAAGATTTTATATTAGTGTATAAGCTTTGTTAATAATGTAAGAAATAGTTTTCTTAACGTTAAGGAGCTTAGTGTTAAAGTAAATATATTTGATATAGTGTAAACCAGTAGACATATTTCTGTGCAGAAATATCTAAATTATCTGGTGCACACATTTCTATGGCTTAGCTTTTATTTCTAAAAATTAATAAGAGATGATAATATTTACAAGGTTTTATTTATCTGCCTAATGTGTCTATGAATATATGTGTCTAATTTATATATATATATACTTTGTTTACACATACTTTATGTTACCTTCAGGATCAAAATTATGCCATCTATGTATACAATAATTCTCTTGTTTTGGGACATAATTTTAATATTTTTCTGTTAAATGAGAGAGGATTTGATGATATAACATATATATGTATGTAACATATATATTTTTCCTTCTATTCCCTCACCCCCTTCTCTCTCTCACACACACACACCACACATGTAAATCTTCCATGTGGAAGGGCAGTTAAAGTGGAGGATGTGGATGAGTAAGAACAAAATGTCATGTCATATATGTATGAAAAAGCCATTGTGAATTCCATTATTTTGTATGCTAACTTAAAAAGTTAAAAAAATAGGACAACCAAATAAGTTTTGAATGTACATATTTGTCTACACAGAATAAATCTATTTAAGCTCATTTAATATTAAGTATTATTACTAAATTAATTAATATCTTTCTTTTAAATGAGATAGATGATTTGATAGTATAACATGTATTAGGTCATAGCAAAGGTCACAAAGAGTTCATTCCTGCAACAACTCTGTAAAATACATATAAATTATAAACATAATTTCTAATAGCAAGCAGATACTCCAAATATGTTAAATTGAAAATTCAAAACTTTACCTTTTGAATACATTCATCTGTCTTAAGCCCTATATAGTCTTGAGTTATAGTTACTTCTGCAGTATTAAATGTGAATCATAAGTTACAAATTTCTATACATAGAATCTCCTTCCTTTCTCTATAATTATTGGCAACTAGATTGTCCCAAACAAGGCAGTTTTTGGATGTTCTAGGCCTTTATCAAAAATGTGTAGAGAAGCAGAGCTTCTCTGAAACTAAGTTATTAAATACAAGACATCATTGTTCTCCATATCACATAAAATGAACAACAATCTGCAACATTCCCAGGGACATCTTTATTCCAAGACCTTAAGAAAAAACTACTGTCCTTACCAAAAACTATTTTCTAGTTCTAATTTAGATTAAATCCTATCCTAAATTTTGTTTATGTGACAATTCTTTAAGAGTTATTATGTTTTACAAGAACCATTATTATTAATCTCTAAGATGAATGTCTCAAATATTATGAAAATCAAGAGTTACCTAAATATATTCTGAGTAATTTGATTAAACACGGGTATCCCTTGACTGTTTTGACATAGTAGGAATACATAAAGAGCTTTTATACAAAGAAAGCTTCCACAAATGAACCTGGAAGTAAGATATAGGCAGCAAGGTAAACTCCTGAGTGTCATATGGATCTGTGCATTCCCCAGTATATGTGAGCTCATTGTCTTATGAATGAAAATGTCAAAAGATTTCCCTACCAGTTTTAGAAATGATATGATATGTGAAGTCCTTCCTTTATTTCTATAGGTAAAAAAATGCTTCATAGAGTTAAAATAATAACAAAAAATAGAACTTGTTTCCTGTAACACCAATATGAGACAATGAAGAATTTGGGGCTATTCATAACATAAAGGCTCTTCTATGTTTCATAAGCTGCCTTTAAAAAACAAACTAATCAGAAAGGTTCTCTAGTAGAAATATAATAACTGAGAAATTGTAGGTTCATTAGTTAAGTAACATGTTATTGTCTCATTCTTAGTCATATTGGTGTCATGAAATTACAATTTGGTAGCCTCAAATTTATATATTTTTATTATTATTAGACAAGACACCTGAAATTCATTAGAGTATTTTATATTGCTAATTTTGTTGGAGTCAGATTTATGCCTAGCTCCTGACAGTTATCAAAAGTATCTGATATATTTTAAATATATAAAAAATCTGCTATCTGGGACAATGAGTTAGCTCCATAGGTAAAGAAACATTCTGCCATGTCCTATGACCTAAATTCTACCACCAACAAGACAGAGAATTGATGCCTACAAGTTGTTCTTTGACATTCACAAGTATACCTTGCACATGTATTGTGTACTTGAACCCACACAAACACAAACACAGACACACACACATAAACGCACACACAAAATTAAATGTAAATTACATTTAAAAATAACATGCTATCTATCTCAAATTAGTATTCCTCAACTGGATGCATTCACTTCAGTAGAATGATTTAAGGGAACTGTATTATCTATTGAAAATAAATTGAATTTAGAACATGTAAGTCATTTATCTTTTACTTTTTGAGCATTTACACACCCTTTTCCAGCTATGAAAATAAAATGATATATGAAGACAGCTCTCTGAATGAAAGACATAGCTCTAATTTATGATAGCTCCAATTAAAGCATGTTAATGTCATAATTAAAACCTAATAAATTTTGACAATCGATAATTATGTTGATTTGACTGTTCACAGCTACATGAGAAAAAATTACTTCATCCTTAAGAAGCATATAAACCAGCTGACAAGATAAGGCACACATAAAAAGGTAAATATAATATATATAATAACTAATGCTGCTACTTAGAAGATATTACATTGATTGCCCTATTCTGGATATTTTATTTCAAATTTCTAGATAGCACATTGTCAGAAGTATTTAAAGATTTCAATATGTAACAGAAAATATGTAGAAAATGGATGGGTTTAAAATATATAATACTAAGTGAGGTGAACCAATCTCAAAAAGAAAAACAATAATTAAAAAAAAACATGCATTCTCCCTCATAAACAGGACCTAACATGTACTGGATACATATGTACTTATGGTAACAGTCATAAGTGTCGGTATAGTATTCTATCTAGAGAGGAGACCAAGAAATGCTATTTAATATTAAGAGGAGTGGAAAGACAGAATATAAGCAAAAGACACATGGATAGTAAAAGAATGTAAAGTTAGTTTCTTAGTTATAAATCTGTCATGATTTTTTTCTTTTTTTGTGGTGAATATGAGCATAAAATGTAAGTAATAATTAAAGTCCAAAATCAATAAACAAAATTCCATATCTACAGATATCATATTCATAGAATATAGAAATATTTTGAAATTCAGAGATATATAGAGTTTGGGTCTAGACAAGTGTTTGAGTGGCTACCTTAATCGAGCTCCATGATGCTTTTGTTTGTGTGTTCATTACAATAAAGATAATTTAAATGAAACAAATTACAAATCAAAAATGAAAAAGAATGGTGCAGTATCTGAACCTCAATGTACTATGTACTTGATTTGAATGTTCTTTTTATAACAATACTGCCTACATCCTCATCCTGATTACACAGCATTCTATAAATTCCAACTAACCCTAATTTGGATATAAAGTATGGAATGTACATTCAATTTGAGTTGTTGTTTGTCTAGTTTGCATTCCAAGTATCTAAAAGTTGTATTGATATGAAAGAGGGATGGATGGTGGTGGTGGTTGTGGCAGTGGTGGTGGTGATGATGGGGCAATTTAGACTCAAAGAGAAAAAAAATAATCTGCTGGTTAGTTTTTCTCAACTTGAAATGAACTAGGTGCACTTGGAAAGAAGGAACCTCAGTTGAGGAATTGCCTCCGTCACTTTAGCCTGTGGACAAGTCTGTGGGGATATTTTTCTTAATGATTGACATAGAACGTCCCAGGTCACTGTGGGCTGACTGGCCCAACAGAAGATGGTTCTGGGTAGTTTAAGAAAGCAAGCTGAGCAAATCATGGGAAGCAAGTCACTAAAATTCTTTCTTTGTGGTCTCTGCTTTGGTTCCTGCCCAGACTTCCTTCAGTGCTGGACTGTGACCTGGAAGTGTAAGATGGAATAAACCTTTTCCTATCCAAGTAAGTTTCGGTCAGTGTTTTATCACAGCAACAGAAAGCAAACTAGGACAAATAGTAGAGAAATGCCACTGGTTTAAAAGAGAAAGGGGGGGTGGGGAGGAAGGAAGGGAGGGAGGGAGTGAGGACAGAAAACAGGAATGAAATAATAAAGAACATGCTTTGCTCCTATTGACCAAAGTTGAATACTAATTAGTGCAACTCCCAGAGATTTCTTAAGATGATTCTTTTTATACTGCTCATAAGCATATCTTTATCAGAAGGGTAAAATTTTAAAAATTAAAGGATTAATTTTTATCAGCATGACATATGTTCTTTTATAAGTTAAATAACCTTTCATTTCCCTGCAATCTATAAATTTATGTCTTGGTAAACTTTCTATCTTACCTCCAGTTAATGAAACTTCAGTGTGATAGACTTGAAGTACTGGATAATTTCATTTACTTTCACTGAGAAGTCTGAAAATGGGATAAAATACATGGCGATTATTATCTCCCTGCCTCCTTTCCCCATCCCTTCCTCCCTTCCTCCCCTACATCTATCTCTGTCTTCATTCTCAGTCTTCTTTCATTCTCTCTATCTCCCCATTCTCTAGCCCTCTCTCTGGAGCTGGGGATGGAATCCAGAAGTTCATGAATTCTAGGCTACACAATCATTATACCACTGAGTTAGCTGTAAGATCTAAAGTTTTTATTTTCTATAGAATATGAATCATTGCCTAATTCTTACTAAGTTTTAAACTAGGACTTGCCTTAGAAATAGACAGTTAAATTTAGTTACCATATAAATTGTTTTTTATTTTAATACTATAGCAATGATCTTAATAACTTTAATGTCTTACCCTAATATCTATTTGTACATGAAAAACTAACTTTCAGTAAATCAATGATAACCTCTTAACAATAGTCTTAAAGGATGAAAACTATGACATACTCTTTATATCAAGTCTATTTGAATGAAATAGACAATCTGACAGGCTAACATAGTATAAACCCTTGTTTAATACATTGTTTCCTAGAGATAGTCTTTCATTATAAATGAATGAGATCAGAATAAAAGCCATTCTAGATGAGACCCATAGTTTATGTGTACAACACACTCTGTTTCTTAGTTATTCAGTGATGAACATACAGTTAGAAAATATTTCATTTTAGTGTCCATGAAATAAGAATGTATGTCTAATTTCTGATATCACATTTTGAAATTAAAGCCAGATTTTCCATAACATTAATGGGAATGTAACTATTTACTGAATCTTAATTTCCAGATAAGAAAACCTTTTACTGTATTAAATAATATTTGTTTTACTTTCCTTAGAATCGTTATTTACTTTGTGTTTCAATATTATAGTAGATTCATAGAAGTCTTAGAGATATATATTGAGACACATGCTACAATGCGTAACTGCAGTGCTGCTTATAATTGACAAAAGGAAAGCAACTAAATCTTGATAAAGGTTAAATGAATAAGTATAAATTCATTATTTTAGGGTAAATCATATAAAATGTTGATAAATTAAATAGGTAGATTTCAAAATAATGTTGAAAATAGGTAGGACAACTAGACACCTAAGTAAAATATCACGTATGTTTTAAATCACAAATTATATATTGTTTTAGAATCAACACATATATAGAAAATAATATATAAATTTTATTAAATTAGTTATTACAAGCAAGACTTTAACTGTATAATGGTGCTTCATTTATTTTTAAAGTAAAGAACTTTAGTTTTTTGGAAAGAATGAAATGGCTTATAAATAATTCTTTATATTTTTAAATTTTAAAAATTTGCATGGCTGATTAAAAACAAAGACATCTTGAATTTTGCAGGCAAATAGATGGAACTAGAAAATATCATCCTGAGTGAGGTAACCTGGACCCAAAAGGACATGCATAGTATGTACTCACTCATCTGTGGATATTAGCCATAAAGTAAGTGATAGCCATGCTATAATCAATATACCCAAAGAAGCCAAACAAGGAGGGCCCAAGGAAGAATGGATAAATCTTTCTCAAAAGGGGAAACAAAATAGACATCTGAGGTTAATTGAAGGAGGAAACTAAGTGGAAGAAGGGATGGGGAGGTAAAGGGGAGATCATATATAAGAAGAGCAAGGGAGAGAAAAGGGAGATCAGCAGTGGAGGGGGAAGGGCATTTTTTAGGACTTGCCAGAGACCTGGAATAGGGAGAAGCTTTACAATGTCTATGGGGGCAACTCCAACTAAGACTCCTAGCAATGGGGGATATGGATATTGCAGTGGTCACTCTCTTCAGTCAGGCAGGACTTCTAGTGGAGGGATAAGAACAGCAGACTACCCACAAAACCTCCAAACCAAAATGTGTCCTACCTACAAGATATGTATGGAAAAAGTTAGAGCATAGACTGGGGGAATGGCCTTCCAATGACTGCACCAAACTGAGACCCATCCTAGGGTCAAGAACCAATCCCTGACTCTGTTGTGCTTAAAGATACTCTGTTATGCTTGTAGACAAGAACCTAACATAAATGTCCCAGCATCCAATGGAAAGGGATGCAGAGACTAACACCCAAATATTACACGGAGCTCAGGGACTCATAAGGAAAAGTTTCATAAATCTGAAAGACAATCATATAATAGTGAACTAATATGCTATAAAATGGACTATATGTACTTATTTGTGGAGACTAAATGTAAATTCAAATATGATCCACAGTGTTACTAATTTTTTTCACTTTAATTCAATAAATGTATTCCCATTCTTTTCATATATATATATATATATATATATATATATATATATATATATATATATTATTGCCTAGTCCTTCTGATTAAAGCCTTTAGAATACTTTTTAAATAGACTTTCTCTAGCCCTCTTTAGACATTATTTTTTTTTTTGTTGAAACATGCTTAACAGAAATTTCTTAACTTTTCTAATGAACCATGTATTTATGTCATTTTTTTTTTACGTTTCTTTACATGTATCATTCCTAATGATGGATAACTGTTAATTTGAAGCTGCAAAGATTAATATGGCTTCTCAAATTTTCTAATTTATAAATTCTAATATTATCACATCTAATCCTAAAAATAAAGCTATCAAAAATTTCCATACAGTAGCAGACAAAATCAGAATCAATGTAAGCTAAATAGACTGTTGAAGATTATTAACTATGTAGCAAATGAAGCTTATCCCTGAATGAATGATTCCAAATGCCCTGTTTCTTCAACAGCCTTCAAAGTGACAGAAGTTAGAGTAACTTCAAAATCCCTTTCCTAGGTAGGAGAGATGTCTTGATGGATAATATGCTTGCTCTACAAGCCTGGGAACTAGAGTCTGGATCCACAGAATCCAAATACAAGCTAGACAGACATGGTGGCCACCAGTAATCCTAGCACAGAGGAAGCAAAAACAGAAGCTCTCTGAGGAAAGGTCCCTAGATAGACTAACAGGAATTAGTGAGCACTGGTGGTTTAGGATTAAATTCTGTCTCAAAAAATATAGAGTGAAGATACATTAAGACGAACTTTGGCCCTCCACAGTACATATTCACATACAGGTGCATGTACACCCATCGAAACATACATACAAATACACACGCACACACACGCACACACACACACACACACACACACACACGGATTTGAATTTTACCAAATATATAATTTTAAAAGCTAGACATAGTGATATTGCTTTGTTCTTAAGCAAGATGACACCTGTTTCTCTTGCTATTACTGTTGTCAATCTTGATGGCTTAATGTTAGACAACTGTAAAGTTTAACTAAGTGACTCTATAACTAGGAGTAATTCTGTCCCTGAGAGAATATTTGGTGATGTCTAGAGACATATTTTTGTTATCATAACTTGGAGAGAAGGGCGCAGATTGAGACCAGAAATGATAGTAAGCATCCAATCTAGCATAAGATAACTCCACCTCTAAAAGAAGTATCCAGCCTCAAATGCCTATATCAACATCTGAGAAACCTTTACCCAGAGATAAAATGTGTAGATCTATAAGAACCACACAGCACTTCTCTTGCCTCTTCCCCCCGAGGACTAAGTTTCTAGGCCTGTGACAGCACACCAGACCATATGTTTAAAATATTTTTCATCTGGTCTTCAGGATAATACTATCCACAAATCACTGAATATATATATATATATGTAGTAAAATACAGAGTACTCAAATATTTATAAAGACTTTTAGGTATTACTCTAGTCAATTTACTAGATAAAATGATAAAAGCCATGTGAATGACTTTGATAGAATTCTGACTGGAGAATTAGTCTAGGGTAAAGAGTTGTATAATCAAAGTAGTGAAGAAATTAATTAACTATAGGTAAATGTACAGGTTCAGTGGCTACTAAAATGGAATATAAGAATTCAAGACAGATTTTTAAAAGAGCTATCTTTTCCTTACTTTGTCTTCAATCACACTTCTCAGAAAAATCTCTTTTCACTTCTCCACTTAACAATTTTCTTCAAACAGTGCCTGCATGATAAAATGATAAAGAAAAGAGTTTACTTAATAATGGGTTTCTCTGCACATTTATGCCCATATTAAAGAATTTCTCAATCATGCAATTTCCAAAATTAATGTGGAATCATTCTAAAGTATAAAGTACCTCTAATAACAGAAAATGCTTTCTTCTTCCTTATCATATCATCTCTTAAGACTCAATCAAATCTTTTAGTGGTAAAGTGTAATTTTATTTTGATTATTCAAGTATTCAGAAGGTTTTCTGACAGAGGGAAATTTTTATGTCTTGATTGCTCTGTGAGAATCAGAGGTTGTCAAAAATATTCATCTGATAATATAGATATTATAACCATTATTTTTAAATAACCTTTATTGTTTAAATAAGAATGAAATCTTAACACAAAGAATAAATATCTACATATTATTAATTATCCAGTGTTCATTTTTCTCTTTATAGTCATGTGAATCTTGCAATCAACTTTCATCTTGTCTCCTAGAAACATTTCTCATTTCTAAACATAAACTGAATGAATTTTAGGTCACCTATGTTTACCAATCAGATCTATACCTTCTGTTTGTATTACTTTTGTTAATTTTATTTCTTTAAAGGGAATATTTTTTAAATCATCATGCTATGTTCCGCTAGACGACCTAGACCTTCATATGTACACCAGGATGACCTCAATACTAGCACTTCTCTTGCCTCTGACACCACACCTGACCATATTGCTTGTGTTTAAACTATTTTTCATCTGGTCCTCTATTTGCCTTAGCAAACAGAGCTTTATCTCTTCAGTAGCTCTAATCTCTTTCATCAGTTACTTGAATCGTTCTTTGCTAGTACAATTTGCAAATGAAATCTGAAATGGCAGAACAAAAAGTTTTTCTATTCTGAACTGGAAAGCTTCTCACTTTATATTTCTCTAGCATTTCTAGAACAGTACTTACTTCTCCATAAAAAAAAAAAAAACTACAAAGACTGCACATCAGTTTAGACGGTTTGTTTCTCTTATACAATGGGTACCTAACATAGAAAAAGCAAGCAACAGAAGATATCTCATTCGTGATCACTCCTGAACTCCTGTACACCTAACCTGTTGTACATATTCAAAAGAAGTGCATTAGAAACCTAGGAGACCGGGTTGTAACAAGGCTATTTGTTCAAAGCTTGCTTAAGCAAATCAACTTTAACAGCTTTGGTTGTTGCTCTTATTATTTTTGTCATTATTTTCTCATTGGTAAAGATGTTGACAATACCTGTGCGGGTTATTACAGAATATGAACTATCAAATGAAGCAATTATGAGATCCTTTATAAACTGTTAAATTCCAGCTAAACTAAGGTATTAATTCAATAAAGAATTTATGATTATATAATTGAATATTCATTTCCACTATGTAAATAGAGGTAAAATATTGACCTTTCGGACCATCTCCAAAGTTATTCTATCACAATTTATAGAAGTTCAGATTATCTACCTGATATTATAAGAACAATAGGAAAATCTGAGAAAAATTATAAAAAGACACAGTATTCCCATTCCTGATGCATTTCTATTCTTTCCTGCAATGGGGCTTAGTTGCAGTTCCAATGAACCATTACATTTTCTAGTCACTTCAGTAAATTTTGCTAAAACGTCACAAAACCATTGTCACAAAGCAGTCAAATTAAATATTAAAATTTTAGTGTTTAGGATCCAAAGATTATTTTATAAATGTATTTATTTAAAAATACTTATTCATGTAACTGCCTCAATTATAAAACTGACTATGATAAATCTAGAAAACAACTCTACTTTCATAGGAACTATTATTATCATAATTTCCTGCATTAGCCTTGTTTATGTCAAGTCTGACCACATGTAATACCTACTGAATTATCTTAAGACATAAAACTAACACATTCTTTATATCTCCATTATTCCAGCAAAATGTCATAGAAATTACAGTGCCTCCTTTTAAGTGCAAGCAGATGAAATTAAGCATATTTACTTATCTACATGTGACTTATGATACTGTATTTCATAGTTAGCTTGGCCCCCACACAAGCTATGGGTAACCATAGTAAAAGGAAACATCCTACTTGATGAGACAGGGTAGTAGGTTTTTTTTTACACCCAGTAGCAATGCAGAAACATAAGCAAAAACAAACAAACAAATAAAAAACAAGATCATTCAAAACAAAAGGTAATATGCATACAATAAAATGAGTGAATACATTTTCCTAAGTTTACAAAGTTATTTCTTACAGACACCACTGGGCATTTTGAAAGGTACCTTTTATCAAAATATATGTTAAATGAACAATCATGAGATGACATCAACATAGAAACAACTTCAATAGCCATTGTCAGGAAGATAGATAAATTAGTGTAAATCCATAAAGTAAAATACTTTAGAGCAGCAAAATAAATCCATCACCAGTACATATTATAACACAATTGAGGAACTGTTGGATTACAAAATAAGCCAGGAGCACCAGGCAGTATAATTTAATTTATACGAGAAATTTCAAAAGCAGACTACCCTAAGTAATATATTGATTGGGAATGCAAGGGATAAAAATCCCTATAGAAAGGGACTGGAAGGAGAGGACAGAGGGAGGCTCTCCCATGATCAGGATGTAAAGAGAATAAAAAAAATTAGAGAAAAATTAAAAAATAAAAAACCAGGGAAATAATACATGAATCCAAACAAGAGGATGCTTCTGAAAAGAGGATTGTAGTTAGGAAAGTGTACTCAGTGTGCAGTGGTGAACTTATAGAAAATGCTACTTTGTTCCTGGAATTGGGTGACATGTCACAAATGAATTATTTTATATATCATACACAGAAAATGGTGTGCATCATTTTACAAATACCACTCAATATGTATTGAACAATCAATAATATATTTCAAGCTTCAGTCTATTTTCTCTATTTTTCTAATAAGCTTTATGGGCCTGACAACCATTTCTTTCCACAGCAGCTGTTCTAACTAAACACTCATACACCTTAAATCGTTTAACTTCTGAGGCTAAGTTAATTTTCTTTTTAACACTCGCTTTAAAATCAGATATTCAAGAAAATATGAAGGTAACTTTCGGATTTAAAACATCAAAGACCTCATAAAAGTAAATACCTTCTAAGTACAGACTTTAACAGGTTATTTTTTTTACTTAAGACAGACAGTAACAGCAAATACTCTCTATAAACAAATATGTTTTTTAACAAAAATGATCTTATACCAAGAAGATACTTCTTGAAAAATTCTATAGCTTGAAAACAACATTGTTAAATTTAAGGTTTATTTTTATACATTGCATACATATAACTCTAACAATAGCTTTTAAAAACTCACATATGTTTAAGTTTTGGTAGATTGTTCTAGTATTTATGGTTTTACTGAGGAACGATGTTAAAAATAGTAAATGCTAAGGGAAAGTCTTTCAAAACATATATCTTTACCTTTAACCCCCAAAGTTAGTTTTCCAGCAGTGAAATACAACTGTTTAAGGCACACAGAGAACTGATGACATTTCTAAAGCTTTCAGTTTCATAAGTCTTGTTCTCCAACTATAAAGTGAGATGCATACCTAAAAATAACCTTTACACGGTTCAGACTATTGAAAGGATTTCTAGACTGTACTTTCCCAGAACTTTGTATTGAGAAATGATTCTCTTTTTTTTTTTCTTCTAAAGAAGCACGGACAGTTAGAAACAGTCTGAAGCTTATGACCAACGATCATTAACACAGAATAATAAAATACTCACTTCTAAAGCCAGTTTTGTTAAAAAGGAAAAAATCCTAAGGATAAAAACTGTACAGCATTGTACATATATTTCCACAGGTTGAATTTTAAAATGAGGTAATTGACAAACTTCTGAGATTTAACAATTATGATAATTATACTAACTTTCAAAGTAATATATGTAATTTCTATGACACTGAAATTAAAATGCCACAAATCTGCTTAAAATTCCCTCTTTTCCTAAGTCTAAAGAGTGCATTTAATAAATACACTTCTGGACATTTTCGAAGGAATGTAAAAAACGCCAAGCTCTATCCACCGCCACCCACATTATCCGCTCCCACCCATTATAGAGATTTTACATTAATTTTAGACTGTATATCAGCTTCGCTTAAGAAAAATAAAATTAACCCAACTAATATGAGAAAGAATTTCGAAGCAACCTTACCTCTCAAGTAGAGCTTGACTTTCCCCCCTTCCCCTTCAACCCTACAACTCTAAGGCTCAAAAGCCTTTTAAAAACCTCAACGTTACCAACCACACTAACCCCTCAAGCCATTCTTTTACACTGTCAGAATTTTTTAAAAGTACTTTAAAAGTCCTATACCTTTGTCTTCATCCTTTAAGACTTAAGGTCTGAGAGAAAGGGATGAGAGACTCCCAGGACAGTGTGAAATCTGAGGGACGAGGTGGGGCAGAAGGCTAAGCGGCGTCCCGGTTGACAAAAGAAAGAACTAGAAGTCTGGTGGGATGCCGGACCAGGTTGAGCGCAGTTCTCCTGAGCGCACGTGAAGCATCTGAGGGGGAGGGACCTAAGCTTTAGCTCTCGTACTCCACCGCCCCCAAGCGACCAGAGCCTTCCTAACCGAAGCTACTCACTGCAGCCATGTTGGCGTCGTCCCAGTCCCGCCTCTCTGGCTTGTGAAACTCCACCCACCACGGCTTCCAAACCGAAACAGGAAGTGGGCTAGGATCCCTCGAAACCGGCAACAACCGGCACCCTCCGCACGCCCGAACGACCCGCGACCCACGACTCGCGGGTACCCGGCCCCTGTCCCGCGTGTTATCTGCCCCTCCCCTCCTCCCACCCCGTGAACTCGAGAGATCATGTCGAACATGGAGAGTATCCTTTCCGTCGGTCAAGGTGCTACCAGGGCCTTGGGGGCCGGGGGAGGGCGAAGGCTGGGGGCCGGGGACACGCCCAGGGGCTTGACCTTTTGGGCCTGCACGTGGGGCGAGGGCGCTGTGGCGCGGATGGGTAGGCTCCAGCGGCCTGGGGCTTTTTTTTTTCCCCCTCTCTCCCTCCTCCTCGCTGCCGCCGTTGCCACTGCCGCCATCCTCGAATGTGGGGAGGGTCAGAGGAGCCTGTGGACAGACGGAGATAATTGAGCTCCTACCGCCTCTTGTTGAGGATTTCTGTCACCTGCCTTATCAGTGAATTTTGGCCTCTTTGAAATTGACAGGGAATGGTGCCAGAACCGAGGGGAGGTGACTGGAGTTTGCCTTTGGCTCAGGGCGTAGATGTAGGTCCTGAAGGCGTACGTGGACAAACAGCTTTTGGCGAATTGCCCTTTAATGACTGCAGGTGACTGGTGATGAGGTTGAGCGATTGCTAGGAACCCTCTGAACTAACTGTGCTTGCTTTCTGTTCCCGCTGCATGCTAATTTAACACTTGAGGAAACTCGGGTTATTACTGAAGCCATGAAGTCCATCAGCCAAACCTGTAAGGCCACTTGGGCAATTAGAAGGGGCTAAGAATAAAGCCGCCTGGTGATGTCATGAACACAATTTTTTTTTTCACTACTAAAATTCCATCACAGCAGCACCACATTTTGCCATACTTTTTACTTCTTCCAGAGGTTGGCTTTAGAGAAATAAAGTAAATTGCTTTTTCTTCCCCTCCAAGATAGCAAAAAGATAAACCATGGGTAATGTCATTTGCTCATGTTAGAAGCTCTTTTGGCGCTATTAGTTTATAAGCCTGAAATACAGGTAAATTTTTTGATGAGTTAAATTTTATGTCATCCAGAAATCTTGTTAACATAACTGTGCAGCACTAGCCAGGCTATGCTGAAGATTAAAATGCTAGCTTGGAGGAAGGATGCAGATCATGAAAAGATGATGACCAAGATAGGTCCAGTTTCTACTGCATGTAAAAAAAAAAATAGTGACTGTAATATAGTTTTAATAGTAGCATAAAGTGAAGAGCACTGAATTCTGAGTCAAAAGATCAGTTTTATTTCCCAAGTTCCTTAAAATAACAGTCTTCTGAATTAAGGCATGGCAATCCTCCTCTGTCACCTACTTGACTCACTTGGGAAGCATATTATGTCACCTTTCAACTCTAGAAAGGTATTTTTAAAGTAAAAGGAAATGGTAGTGCCTGCCGAATTGTATTTTAGGGCATATTCTGATGAGATTTGAATAGCTAAAAAATTATTAGCTCTTTTTTCCTAGAAGTTTGAAAGGATTAGGGGCAGTAGCTCTGAAAGTTTTAATTTCTTGTTCTGGCAATATAGATACAGGTTCTTTTTATTTTGTCTTGCCTTCCTTGTATTCCCAATCACAAAATAATGTGGTTAATATTTTTTTCAATGAAAAGTATTAACATGTTCATCTTTTAACTCCCAGAGGCCAATTAGTGCTGTTCCTATTTACATGGCTGTGGGCTCATCCACTCATGCATGGGCAACCTACCAGTAGCAACCATTTGAAGAAAAGTGCTTACCTTCAACTCCAATAGCATCAACTGCCAGTACCTCCTCGGCTAGAGGTGGGGCCTCAGCAGCCCTTCTCCTTTCAGTTCTTGGATTTTAATGGGCTTGAACTTGTGTAGATATTGTACAGGTAATCACAACTTTCTGGGTGTTTTTGTGTATGTACAACAGCCAAGTCAGTTCCAGAAAACTGTATTGCATAATACTGCTCAAAAAACATCAATATAAATAACTGCTGTACCTAATAACAATGACCTGCTCTTCACTGTTATCTAAAGTAGTAAAGTTTAACTTGATCCAAACCATATGATTACTTATCTTGCTTCATTTATGTGTAAACCAGACCCCCTCACACACACACACACACACACACACACACACACACACACACATAAAATATAGAGGTAGGAAATACTATGGACTCAGACCTACCTTTCATAAATAACCTGAAGTAAAATTTGAAGAACACCTTATTTACCCTTTTATAAAATGCAAAAATCTCATTGTACTGTAGGAAGATTGGCTGTGATTAAATAATTTAGTTGCCCTTGTAACTTTTCCATCTTTGACTAAGTATGTTAATCTACTTTTTGTACAATGTTAAAGCTCAGTTTAAAATTTTAATTGAAGCCATATTTAATTACTATGATGTGTATGTATAAGTTTTAGTGCTAGGTTAATTACAGGAGTGAAAAATTAGTAGATAAATAATTAAGGGCTACTCCTGTGGTCCATGCTTCTTTTCCACCCTTATTACTCCATGTATAAGTCATTTTACTATTGGAATTCAAGTGTGATTCATTTACAGGAACTTTCTGTTTTCCTAGTCTAAACTGAAGTCATTCTGAAGTCTAAGAGTCTTAGGAATAGTGTTTTCTATCAGTTACTCCTGTCCCTTTCTGCATCCTTTTACCCTTTATTTAAGTATCTCTACCCAACTCTTTCCTTAGACTGAATTCCTGGGGAATGGGGCCTTCAAATGCTCATTCACATACACATGGTAGACAAATAATGAGCAAATGACTTTCTGTTAATAGTTAATTATTAATTTACTTGAATTGGAGTCTTTATTATAGACCAAATCATGTAGTGGATACATGAAATTAAATATACTACTTCCTTCTTTTACCAGCTTTTGATCTGGGGCCAGAGGTCACACATGCATGAACCTAAATACCAGTACAAAGTAACTACGAATTCAGATGAATGCTAGTATATGGACTTAGTAAATATTTTAAGATTGTATGCACAGTTTTGAATATTACTATGTGTATTTTTCTGGAGACATTATCTGTAGCTATAATAGTTTTAGGCATTCTGACTTGAGGGAGGTTACAGACCAATGAAGTAGATAATAAGTACTGGACATACTCTTAAGTTCAGAAAGGTAATAAAGGACTGGTATCACCTGGGGCTGTATTGCACACAGTGATAGCTAGCTCCTTAAAAATAAAAATAGCTGGTAGTCATTGCAGATCTTATGAATCACTTTAAATCCTAAAACAAGTCACATATCTGGATCAGACTTGCCAGCATTGATACATTATGTTGTGTTTTTATCATGGCACTGTCAACATAAACAACCATCCGACATAGTTTAATTCTGAAGCCAAGTATGATTAACCATAGCTTAGGAACATAGATTCAGGTTACCCCAAATTGCTAATATTTTAGTGGAGTTTTTATAGCAATAGAAGCAAGTTATAAGTCAAGGCTTTTTTGCAGTATGTCATTGGAGATACCAGATAGGTGGGTATAGCACAGTAGACAAATCTCAGCTGTAGGACTTAAGAACACTCTTAGCTTTTTGGTTGGTGAAGCTGCTGGTCTGTTAATAAATTTCAAAAGGTTTTATCTCTTAGTCACGGGATGTTAGGCCAGACAGAGGTGGGCAAGGAAGGGCTGTTAAGGAGACTAAAGATAGCCCCAAACAAATTGTAATTAGGCCCTAGACCTGCAAAATTCCAAGCTCTCCAATCATGGAAATTCTAATCAGTTAAGTCAGCCTTGCTGAAGTTCAGTGGAAGGTGTGTAGCCTCTTTACCAGAATTAGTTCTCAGTGTTTACAGTGTTTCACATTTGCCCATTGCATTGATCCCCTGCCAGTGCATATGTAATTTATGGCTTGTAGAATCAACAGAATGCTGTCTTTTACAAGAACTATGAAATGTTATGTTATTTTGAGGTCATCCTTTCTATACCATATGAAGACCAATTCTGAGATTCCCTGTAACAGTTAGTGTGACCTAAGAGATAAGCTGCATTTGGATACCTCATTGTTTCTGTATTCCTTAGTTACTACATATGTATCTGGCTATAGCCATGGTTCTCAACCTGTGGGTCCTGAAAGGTGTTGAAGGACCCTTTAACAGGGGTCACATATCAGATATCCTGCATATCAGTACAGTTCATAACAGTTGTAAAATTACAATTCTGAATTAGCAACAAAAATAATTTTATGGTTTGGGGGTCACCACTACATGAACTATATTAAAGTATCACACCATTAGGAAGATTGAGAACCACTGATTAATAGGTTTATGTTTTTAAATTAGTAAACTTATCTCTAAAGTTGCTTTTAGTTCTGATGATCTTGATCCTGATTCTTTTGCTTTCAAGTTTACCTCCCTAAAACACACACAGTAATTAAAGTACTGGAAACTTAAAAAGCCAGAAAGTTGGAAGCATAATGCTACTTACTTATCAAATACATAGACAATCTCTGGTACTGTTTTATGCTAGGGCAGCTATTAATGGAGCACTTTCTTAAAAGATTTATTTGTAATAACTTGAGTGTGTGTGTGTGTGTCTGGGTACGTTCACATGAGTGCAGGTACTCACAGAGGCCAAAGGAATGTCAGATCCCCTAGAACTGGAGTTATGAGATGGTTATGAGCTAGCTGGCAAAGGTGCTGGGAACTGAACTCTGGTCCTCTGCAGGAGAGGCAAATCCTAATAACCTTTGAGCCATCTCTAAAGAGTGCCCATCCCCTCTCGCTGAGCTCTTGTTTTCTTCCTCTTCCTACCTGTATGTTTGCAACCTCTACTCTTGTTCATCAGAAGCATTATATAATCTGGCTGGTGACATTTGTAGTAGAATAGCTTCTGAACTACTATATTTAGAAAACTTACTATCAGTTTAAATAGAGAACTGTCTCAAAATTTTCATAGTAAGTTGATGAATTCTATTTTAAACTATGGCTTCTTTATATACAGTAAATTTTTTTCAATCTTAGTGATTTTTGAAAAGCTATTAAACCGAAGTGCAATGTAATAACATAATAGTTTTATGTAATGCTTTCAAAACAAACGTCTTTGTTATAGATTTCTCAATTAAAATAGGTGACTTAGTACATGATAATTTATTAAATACATACTCTATGCCAAAAAAAGTCCTATGATGTC